TAAAACCATTCTCTTTGATTAAAGGATTCCACCAGCCACACACGCTACGTTCTGTCGCTGTTTTATTTATTACCAGATATGTTTGCCTTTGAAACTGAAACGTTTCCAGTTAAGGCTTTTAAAAGAATATTCAGTTCTGGCGGATAGCCTTTTTTAACCGAATTAAAAACGACGGTAAACGTCAATTTGTTTTTCGAAAAAACTGCCGAATGCCAACCGAGACGTAAAAATGTATTTACAACGCGTTTAATCACTCTAATTGGGGGTAAGTTTTCTTTTATCTCATGAATATACGGCACTTTGTAGTCTTTTAATCACATTATATCAAACGAGAAAGAGGGAAAAGGGGAAAGAAACCGGTTTTGGTCGAGGATGATTTTACCTAAAACGCGAAAAAATTTCAGAGGAAGTAAATATCATTTATTAATTCCGTTCGTGGCATAAAGCTAAGGAATAATAAAAAGGGGCGATAAAACATAGAGGAGTCGGGATGAACAAATATGGCTAGCCATTTTTATAACCGCGAACATAAAAAGTCTGCGACTTTGATAAAAGCAGGTGAAGAGCATCCAATCGAAGATTCTAAACTTGTACTATTGCGCCATAAACATTATTTTTAATAAAGTTATACCCCGTAACAAAAAATATATGCTTGTACTACAAGTTAAATATTACATTATTATGCCTCACTATGACAGTTCTCACTTGTCATTAATGTCATTTTTAATAAGACATTAAGCATTTAGGCAACCAGTTATACAGATGCATGTGGTATTCATCGTGAGTCCATGGGCATTTAGTAAAGTCTAAAACTGAGAGGCGGCATGTTTCCATGATCTGCTTCAATATTTAGTATTTATCCATACCCCGGGAAGATAATTTTGTGTGGCACCAATTTTAATTCCTATGGAACATTGTGCTAATTTGAACACAGCAAGTTGCAGCAGCAGAATTGCAAATGTGTGCATTTTAACCCGGAAGATGGATGCAGAGTTCTTCGAGATGAGTGCGAGTTCGCAGTGAGAGAATTAGGTGCTTTGTTTCTAAAATAAACTTAGAAGAATTTAGTGTACGTTGATGAACAAATGCAAAAAGTAGGAGTTCCTACTCGAAAAATTCGAATTGATTTTTAAATTACGTTGTCGCTTTTAGAACAGTGGAGTATAACGAGTAAGGGAATTAAGATAAAAAATTAAATGTTCTATCAGAATCACAATCAAGTTAATTAAACTGGTTCCTGGTGGCGCAGGAGCAAATCGTACGTCTAAGTTTCTGGTTGCTATTAAAATAGAATAATTGAGAAAGAAAAGTAGAACTATCACGGTTGTAATTTAAGTTATCGGAGTCTTCCACGCGGACGCATCGCAAAATTAAAATAATAATAAAATTTTAGAACAACGGGAAACTAAAGAGGAAGAGTCTCCATTTCCTTCACTTATCCTGACAGTAAAATAAAAAGATAAAGTCGCTCTTTCAAATTTTTATTACTTAAAACGTCATTACGCGCATAATGAGATTTCTTTTGACTCGAACGAATTTATCAAGTTAAACATTGAAACTTTTTAATACAAAGAAATAAAATTATAGCCACCAATAATTGCGTCTGTGTTTTTTTCTCGTTAAACTTGCATCCGAATAAATCAGTTTGAATAATATTAGAACGAGTTTTACGACGCAATAAACTCCCAGTTTAAGACACGTCCTTATCATTTTCAAACTCACTTCACCGAGCTTTTTACTCGGTTTTTCTTTGTCAAGTAAAAGCTGCATTTCTTTGTGCTAAAATGTATGGTGCATGATTAAAAAGCCGGGCTTTCTTTATAACAGTTTTATTTCCCGACGAACACTTACAGAGAATACATAATTAAGGATCAATTTCAGATAAAGGGAACAATGCACCTTTATTTATCCGCTGGCCGATAACATCTGCACCTCCGACGGCCATTTTGAAAGAAAACCGCAACGAGCCAATAAAACCAACATAAAATACCTTCGACGACTTTTAACGCGTCGTGACGATCAGACGAGTTCTTTGGTAATACGAAACCGCCCACAACTTTGTTAACATATAAATTAACTTCACTGACACACATATATACCCAAGGCGAATACCGAGCGCTAAAATAACATTTCATTCATGAGAACGCGATAATTTATTGGGACAATACACGCGGTTCGCCATGAAAGAATCCGGAGCGGAGCGGGATTTAGCCCGGAGTTTCCTAAGTCCGGGGGGTTTTAAAAATGGCGATTTCTTCCATGCTCTATGGATTCGTTACCCGCAGGGTCACACTTGTGCGTATCTGGAAGTAACTTAAATCAAGAACTGGATTCTTCTACACAAGTGAAACGAATCGGAAAAAAATTGAATTGATGCGGTCGAGCTAATCCGTATTTGTTTGACATTTTCCTCAATGAATTATTATTATTACAGTTATACTGAAGGTCACTGTGCTTTCATACATGAAATTAGAGGAAAAAGTTTGCAATTGTGGTTATCGCTTCATCAAACCGCACCAAGTGAGATATAATTCTAAAAAATGGTCTTAATGTCTTTTAGGCATTTTCTAAACGTCGAACTCCTTTATTCTTTTCACAGTCGTCTTCCTACACTTTTCAACTTTTGAGAATGCCCGAGGGCTGCTTCCATCCCTCGTAAATTAACTTAATTGCTCGAAATTTCACTCTAAAAAATAAAAACACAGGGATTTTAATGAATACCACCCGTCTATTTGCGTCCGTCAAACTTAAAATAAGGTCTCAAAAGATAAAACGCCCATAATATAATCCCTGTTAAAATTTCATTTGTGCGCTCGTGTTCACGTTGTGATTGCCACTATGCTGCCTGAGAGGAATGCAGTTTAATTGAGTTTTTTAGTTGATTTTTGCAACCATTTAATTAAAGGATTTACCACGTTTTATTTTAAATCTGGATTTGTTAATCTGTTTGCCGTCCATAATAAAATCCCGACGTAACGCTGTTTATGCACAAAATATTTACATTCACGCAAATAAAATCAAAAACAAATTGAAATTAAATTGGTTTAAAAGTGGAAAATAACGCAAATGGAGACCGCTGAACTCAAACAACTGGGACATTTAGTTGTAGAGGAGTGGTGTTAAATTAACAAAGTTGGCGTCACAAAGAGAATACTGGGCTTCGGAAAAGAAACAAAACTGCGGTGTTTAGTAAATATATTCTCGAGTATTTTTTGGGCCACGTGTTGTGGACAGTGAGGAGAAAGTGCGGTAATATTATTCACGAGTTGGTTTTAATTATTTCCAAAAATAGTATCCAGATGTCGCTAATTGATGTTGATAGTTTTTATTATCCAACACAGCGATATTTAAATTCAAATGCATGCGATAAGCTAATTTAATAAAATTGTTGACCATTATAATAATTTAAATATTAACACATTTAACATTTGCATATCCCTCAAATGTAACGCAACGGTTCATAAAACACGCAAATATGCTGTAATTGTCGTAATAGTTGGCAATAAACGAACGCCACATGTTATAATTCAAGACTGATTACAGCGGCAATTATTATTATATTAGAGCGGATAAACCTAATATTTAATTATTACCATACAACAACAATCGATAACGGATTAATGGTACCTTTTCGAAACACGTTCCACGTCGAATCTAAATTTATTTTTGTGAGGCATTCAAACGAAAAACACGCCGACACACACCAATTCTTGGCTAGGATATCGCCAGAATCTATAACAATTCGTCATTATTTATACACGAAATTATGGGAATAAATATATTTTTTGCACGAAAGCTCCTGTTCCCGAAAACTCGTTAGCCATAAGTCAGCACGCATCAGTTGTTTGCGTCCCGGACGCATTTTAATCCCGTTGTTTGGTCCCCCCCTGATCGCTTTTATTCTTGAAACAATGCTCTCGACCCATTTTTTAACCGACTTCCCTTTTAATGTGTCTTTCTTTTTTTCCCCGCAATTTATTCGAAATCCCGAAACAATCTCATCGATTTCATTTGTCTGGGATACAGCGGCGGGAACATTGAGGGGAAAATCACACATCTGAACGTCTATATACGGTTAAAACAACAGTCTGTAATTTTATCATCATGACGGGTATTTTCACTTTTTATCTATCCAACCGCAACGCGTCAGGCCCTCACTCGCAGCTTTAAACTGCGTACTGTTTTTCTTGTGGTATTTCTAGTCCTGATAAAATGTCTAGACGTTCGCAGTTGTCAAACAACTACCGTTTCTAGACATCTTACAACGTCTATAAATATTTAAAATGGAGAAATGCTTCACTCATCCTACTTTATCAAAGTGATACGAACAACAGTGTTGTAAGCTACTAAAAGCATGTGACTTCTTTTGGGTTTGTTCTTTCTGAAGGAAAAGGATCTTAAATATTATAATTTTATAGTTAAGAAAAAAGTTTAGCCCAAATATGTGTGGCAAGGTACCCTCCGCCGCTGTCTTGAAGAGCGTCCCATATATGCATAAGCATATGTGGCTCCCTATTTCCCCAGATTGTTATTATCAATGTGCTGAGCGTTCCCGGTCGGACCGTATATTACCATGAGAACTCCTCAAATAGTCACTTTATTTTATACAAAGAATCCGAAATCGGGGGAAGTGCGATCGACTAACGCCTCTTAAAAGTGTTGCCGGATTCGCATTACTGAGGCCATTTGTGGGGGTGGGTTTCTTTTTAAACGTGTGTGTGTATGTGTGCGCGCTAAAAGGGTGGCAAGGGGTGAAAGGGACTCAGCGCGTGTCTTGCGTGGTGGCGCTGGAAATGCTGTCTTTTGATTGCCCATAATGCCGCCCGTTAGACTCGAAGACGGAAGGAAATGAAACAGAATAATTCAAGCAATTCGTTTATTGCCACTCGTAAAACAAGCAGAATAATTAAGGAGACCCCTTTTTATTTACTTTTATATCTGCCGTTATTTGCCTAATTCTAGGACCTTCCCTTAATAAATCGTTTCTCTTTTCTTTACAGATTGACCCCAAAGTAGCGTTTCCAAGGAGAGCACATCCAAAGGTGAGTACGAAGCGGCATTTTATGTTTTCCGAGAGCTACACGGTGCTATAACCGAAAGAGAAAATTCTACAAAGTTTGTTCAAAATTTGTTTTTTGGAAATAAGTAAATAATTGATGGAAAAATGGTGGATGCGCCGGGCTAATCTAAAAGCTTTTAAACTTTAGCTGCACTACACTAACCCAACATTGGTTTTAATTTGTAAAGTAACATGTTATTTGTTTTATAAATAATTAACTAGGTACCCAATTAGTGTACAGGGTGATTTATAACTTTGTGCTCAATACCTATTAGGTTTTCACCTAAGTTCTGCCTAAAGTTGTCACTGACGCTGTACATTTCATTAGAAATCTAATTCGTCTGGAAATTGTTGTTCGAGTCAAACCAGTGTTGTCTGAAAAGTGAAAGATGCAAGTGAGTTGTTTTGTAAATACGTTATAAATACAGCGTCCGTGATGTTGAAGAAAAGTTTGAACCAGAACTATCCGTGATGAAGGATGTTTTGCAACTTTATTACAAAACTTTGTGAAAATTTCGTTAAAGACGCTATTTTCGTTACAAATAGCTGAAAACTTGGGTGTTGCGAAGTACGAAAGATGATTGCTTTAAGAGGGTTTTACGTATGCTATAAGTATTCTAATTAGATTTGCTTAGTTGTTGCATTAAAGACGAGTAGGTTTAATTAAGTTTGACGATATGTAATCAATAACGTAAGGTCTATTTCTCGATGGTAGTTTGTTTTCTGGCTTAGTTTTGATCGGAACAATCAGTATTCATACACCAGGGCATACTAGGCAACACAACAATCCTACGGTTCGAGAGTCGGCGAATTAAGCCGAAATACAAAGTTAATTCGGAGCGGTGTGCAGATTTTCCATTTCCCAAAATAATTAATCTTTTGAAAGAAAAAGGTCGCTTTTTGACGCGGATTAAAATTTCGAGATATATTACCGTCTGGAAGCAGCAGCCGTCAGACTAAGGCGACAAAGTGACGCAATTATAATTACTCGTAAGTACATGCAAAGTTTTGAAAAGAAGTAGTCTGCATGTCATACAAAAAGACGAACAAAAATGCACCGGCTTTTCCATTTTCCACTTAGCGTAATGAAAGCATTTATAAAAGTCGTTTAATCGTCGCCCGTTTATGAAGTCGTTTGTATGTCGGGCTGCTGAGCTCACGGAAGACCAAATATTAGATTATTTGAAAACTCGGCAGCTTCCGGCGCCTTTCTTGTCAATATTAATTAGACTTGTAGATTTTTAATTACGATATATTACAACGGGGACGAGAGCTCGTTCTCCTACAAAATGGAAAACCGTCAACAAGTTAAGCTGGGAGTTCCCGAGCGCACTGGTTTAATTTCACAAATTTAACACAATTACAATTAAGCGCAAAATAACGTCATTAAGCAGATGAAACAGAGTGGCCCGCATAGCGGCTGTTTACTGGGGGGCTCTTCTTAACTTCGGAAACCCGGATTTCTGAGGTGCTGCGAACTACAGCTGCAATATATTACCTAATTCCGGATTCCGGATTCGAGCAAAAGGACGCTTTATATATGGCCACGACCCGGCATACAAACAATACACCTACGCAACACCTAAATCCGCACAATCATCGAAAAATTAAAATAACCGCCCCGGACCGGAATTTGCATGCTCGTCCTGCGTCATCCATTTTCCCGACATGACATTTCGCGACGCTTTAATACTCGCCTTCAATCCATTGATACTTCGTAAAGTGTCTGAAAAAAGCAGTCGTACCAGTTATCCACAATTACGTAACTCGTGGTAGTTTGCACGCCCGACCGCCGAAATTCCTCCGCATTGAAATACGAATCGCGGAGTAAAAGATTTAGCGAGTTTATATGCGCATAAGAATTTTAGCCGAAATTGCGTACCCCGGGCCCCATAAAACTCTGCTCTACAAGTAGATGCCAACACACAAAACGACCGAATATATATCAACGACGGCGTAAGTTGGGCCTAATTCTAATGAGCACTTTCTTACCGGCATAACAAGCCCGTACCTGTAATAAAATTATCGCGTCCTCCAAGTTTCCGTCGTAATTCCGTTCCACTTTTACAACACTAAAGCATGGCGGGAGCTTATATTCTACACAATGTTATATTCTGGCAGAAGATTTATGTCGGAGCTGACTTTAGTTATTTTGTTCATAAGCGGCGCTTACTTAATCGGCGGCCTTAATTGAAATTTGGCGTGAGTTTTCTCTTTATAATAAGTGAACGGAAATGAACCGACTCAGTCAGACCAACCCTTCGCTGCCCACCACGAGATATCTAACCAACACCCCACAATCAAACGGAATCGGAAGGGTTCACTCTGCCGTCCGTGGAATGGGGCCCTCCGCTATTGACGATTCCAAAAAGTTGAAGTAAACATGACGTTGTCATGGAATCAATAGACAAAGAAAAAACAAGAGTTTATGCACCAACGAACTGTTGTCTTTTCATTACGTCTACCTATGCGCAGTGACGGGCATTTCTAAGTGGTCGTAGAATTGACACCTTCGTACTTAAACACTGTGCTGGACGTTCTAAACCGACTTTTGATATACGGTTTTTAGGCCAGACGGGGTTATGTGATAGTGTTATGACAGGTATTTGATTTTTGCGTCAAGTTGAGGACATGTCCTAGTGTGACAATCCCTATTCATTGGTTAGGCTTTCAGAAAGATGCCAGGAATAAGTAATTTGTGTGTCAGGTCGTGAGTATCGTGCATTTTCTTACGACGGGATTCACCTGTCGGTGGAAAGCATCATGATTTAATATGCCCTAACATCATTCTTTCACCCCTTGAAAGACTCTCCCTTCGTTCTCGTCGAAAATAGTGACTTGACATGTAAGAAGGCATTTCAACTTATTATTTTATTGCGTGCGCTCTCGATTTGTGACTATTTCCGAAGACAAAGAAAAAAAAAGAATGATTTAATGAATTTGACGGCAATTTCTCAGAGACATCTCAAAACCGAATCTTAAAAAAAGAAACAAAGAACAGTAGAAATAAGTTGCTTTTGTTGCTGACACGTGAATTGAAAAGAAGAAGGGAAAAACCTTATTATTGTTATTCGGCTCATCACGAGCTTTGTTCGGGGGACAATTGAACATGCGACTCAGTTTTGAATAATATGATGACGTGAATGAGCGCAATAACATTCGAAAAGAACGGTTTTGAGAGAACTCCGACCGTGGCAAGCTCAAACACTATTTTGAGAACTCTCTTTCCTTTTTCGTCGTTTAAAATTAATTAAAGTTGAAGCCTGCACTCTTACCGTAAAGTAAAACTGAGTCGTTTAGTGCTTAGCGCGGTTCAGTAGTTGGAAAAGTTCATCCAGTTTGGTTTTGGGGATAATCAGTATTGAGCGATCGAATTCTCCTTTTTCCAAGTTTCGCACACGAAGGTACTTTCCGTAGGTCCCCTTTATTGTGGCCCATTTGTTTTCTCGATCCTGGCAATATTTCTGCTTTTAATTAAGCCACTAGCCAGACTTTTGCATGGAAATGCAAAACGGGGGGTCCGAGATGGATGTGTGGGCCGTGGGCGGGCCCCTAATTTATTTCCAATAACCTATTTGCATAACGGCCATCACAAATCAGAAAACAATTTAATTTGCAATGTTGATGTTGTTTCGCGAGCGGCGGCGTTCGAGGATAATTTTTTTCGTCGTAGAGACGGGCTTACATCGAAATGCAATTTGAGAAGAGCCCATTTCCGAGAAAATATTAAGCCGGAGCGGAATTTTCATGAAGTGTGTTATGCATTAAGACACACTCAGTTGGTTTCTGTAATATGATGGTAATTCGCTCCGTCGCTGGAACTGCGCCAGGATACCCGCGCGTCGTTTATTTCGACAATAACTATACAATTGTTTTGCATTTTGCGGACGCGGAGCGCCGTAAGTTCGGTCGGGGAAGGTCGTGGCGGCGGCTGCCGCGAACGATTAGACGCTGCATTGTGCAGGAAAGAATGAAAAATGGCAACATGCAGTTGCGAGAAGACGTTAACCAGTTCTGTTACGATTTCTCAGACAGGCGAAAGTGATTAAATCAACACTGATGCTATTATCAAGAAAGAACTGAAAATATCGCTACATAGATATTACGTTCCTTAGATGGAAGTACACAGAATCGTGCCGCACATTCGAATCTTCGTGCTGCTGCATTCTGTTCCCTGACGGCTGGTCGATTTTGTGCCACCTCTTCTGCTACCTTGCAATAATTTTTTGATTGAAAATTGGTAATGGATTTAATAGTAATCCACAAATGGTGTGTACCTTTTTTTGAGCGGAATAAAGTGCGCCCCTCACGCAATAATCCTTCCATTGGTGCGTTTTTTGCCGGTGCCTCACAGACAGCCATCGCGATTGATTCAGACCGATCGCCTGTTTCGCTCCATACAAAATTTACGTTTCGAAAGTGGATTGAAACAAACGAATCCTCGCGTACTTTATCTAGATTGAAATATGCAACCGTGCCCGCACGAATCTGATAAATAATGAATGTAATAATCATAGAAACCGGGGCAATTTCTCGGAATGCAAGTTGGATTATATCCGACGTCGCGCCGTATAAACGTAATTAGCCTAACATATTCCAAGTGCGTGAACAAGTACCTGTCATTCCTCAAGCCGCAGGTTCAGGTTAGGGTTCATTTGTGGAGAGCTTCGTTATGACTAAAGTATGAAGTGTGCGACGAATCCCTGCTATATGCCATAAATGATGGCGGGAATTAATTACGGACGTGTACACGGCACGATTCTCGCATTACGACATACGTACCTATATGGTGGGCGATCGTTCGGGAGTTTTATTGCAATTAAAAGATCGTCATTGCAGGCATCAGCGGTTTCTCGAAGTGTGGTTATAGTTTTTGGCGGCGCTTTTTTCTTCGTCTTTTGATTTATTGATTTTATTAAGTTGTTGCCCCAACAACCTTCTAGCTTTAATTCTAGCCAACCGCGGATGTAGCTAACAAAAATA